ACATAGCACACAGTTAAGGTCACTTAGCGAAATTATAACTGGTAATGTTGATGCTGTCTCGTCTAGACAGATGGCTTGGATAAACACACAGATTCAGTTATTCATGTATAATCACTGACCAGTCACATTTAAGAAAAATATTAGCAGATTTTCAAAACATTATTAAAATTCTACATGCAATCATGATTATCATACAAGTCTCTTTTTCCAGTTAAGCTAAACTTACATTCTAAAAAAACATATTTGTTGACAATTATCGCTCCTCACTTAAGCTGCAGGTAGGTGTTTCTGAAGTGGCAAGTGAATATTTTAATCTTCAGTTATCAGGTAATGTCTCATTTTTTTCAAGTAAAGTAGACATTTTTATTGTATGCAATGAATTCGATTGATAATCTTAGTGGTAGTAATTCCCTCTTAATTTTAAAATAACTTGCGCATTACAAGTTGAAGATTGTTGCAACAACAGCTCACAAACAATTCAAATTGTGAACACGAATGACTGACGTTCCAAACAGTGTTAAAAGTTGAAAATCAGGGTAGTTAATAAGATAGCATTCAACCTAAAAATTTCCCATTAACAATAAGTTTGAGTGAGTTTAACGATTTAATCCCTGTATATCTACTGAAAAACACAGATACATTTTCTTAGGTTAAATCACAAATTAGTAGATATGTGATGTTCAGTAAATGCAGACCTAACATGAAATCAATTCATAACGACCCTCTTATACACCACCCATCTTTCTGATATCTTCCACCACGGTCGAATGTTAGAGATATCACTTAGTTAAACATGTTTTCCCGGAACATATTCATAAAGGAAGCATGGAATTTGAAACTATTTGATGAGATGATCTTATTCACACCTAAGTGATACTGTTAGGTTGCTTCAAAATGTAACAATTACTGCTTCAATTTTGGAAGTTAGTGAGTTTAGTGACTGAGAACTGCACTAAACTTGTGCACTTGTCAATGTAAATGTTTTCCCTTTATAAAGTCATATAGTGGTTTGCAGGTTTTGTCGAGTCGGAAAAAGTGTTTCTTGTAATCAACTTCAAAATTAGCTCGTGTATGTAACGAAAGCACTCTTGGTATCCTAATTAGACTCCCGGAAATGATACATTAGGATATTTGGTATGAAAAGAATCACTGAGTATTATTTGTTTATTCCAGATGTATTTTGCAAGACAGACAGACTAATGTTTAACAATAACTAAAATCAGAATTCATTTACACAAATATGCAAGAGCAATCAAACAAAACGCCATCCTGAATAAAATACTAGTGGATTTGCTATGCGATTCTGATAATGATAATAAACCGCAGGGAAACTGGGTCGAAACGAAGGAAATATGTGTTGGCATTTGGTGAGAAGGCGTAGACGTTTTCATTGAGATAATACCTTGTTTTAAGGCCCAAAGATCTGTTCTTATTTCTGTGTTGACAATAACTTTGTCAAAAGTATTTTACGCAACATTTGTTAGTTATCATGTTCGAAAACTCTGGTGCAATAACTTCCTTTTCTTAGTTATTTCTTCAATTTACTGTCGGTTTACCAACAGTAGACTAAGTACGAATCAATATATTATTTTCAAATAAACAAATATGGGTAACAGCCAGTGTTTCCCTTCTTCTGTTTTCCACAGTTTAGTGTGGAATTTCGGTTAAAAAACAATTTTCGAGTAAACATTTTAATCATATGATATGAACATGGGCAGTAAATTGTTACTGCATAAATGACTGGTAGGCAATCCTGATTTCATATACGATGCATCTAATTAGAAGACGAAAATGAAAACGAAGTTTGAATACTAACCGCTGTGTGTAGATTCGTGTGTGTATCTTTTAACTGGACTATATGCCTCATTTTTAAAGCCTATTTCCACCAAGTTCAACTTTTCTTATCTTCAAGTTCCACCTAAAAAGTAATACCATGATTAACACCGTTTAAAATATGAGGCAGCTTTGATAATTGTTTCAAACGCTATCGATTGCCAAGTCATGATCTACGTGACTCTAATATTTTCAGATTTTCTGCCAAAATATCTCATAAAATGTAGACCAGTAGCACTTCTTCACAAAATAACCAAACATAAGATGCTTTTACTATATAGTTTGACTGACTTAATGTTGGTGAGTTAGAAGCAATTAGGAACAGTTTATGAAATTTGAACTCAACAGAAGGGGGTTCAGTTTTGAACTAACTTAACTTTAAGCTTTACAAGTATTGTATACAATAAAGAAAGAATTTTCAACAATACCTTTGCATAGTTGCTCTTCATTCAGGATCTACAACAGGTTTCGTTTTTAAATTCATGCTTGTTTTCTTCTGGATTTTCTAAGTCATATTGGCAAACTAAGTTTATCTGTTTGGCAACATGATCAGAATTAAAGCTTTCGTTCGCAGATTACAAATGAGGTTCTCTCAAGATACTTCCAAATGGATATCCCAATTCATGTGCATATGCAGAAGCAGATGGACTAGAATAACAGAAAGGAGGGTTTTCGTTCGCATTTCTTAGCACATATCTAAGACTCCAAGATTGGTTTCGTGAATGAACTTCTAGAAATTAAAATTATTTCCCTTTTTGTTACCAGCAGTTTATACTTATTTCATCCTAGAGGTTTCCAAAGTAACTATGTCAGAGATTTTTCAAGTTGATATTGATCATGGACTGACATCAGTTGCAGGAACATTAGAAACCTGGAAGGACTGGACAGCTGTCATCCTAGTATGGGACTCTCCAGCAGTGCGTACCCATGGTCCAGCCTCACTGGAGACCCAACCCAGGATCTTCAGGTTCTGTGGCCAGCACGTTACGATTGAGACACTGCCGGAACCCAGCGGTTTATATTCCCAAGTTCACGATTTAGCGCGACCATCACCTAGAGTCATCGTTGAGTATTTATCCTCACGACTACCAGGTTTGCCCCAGCGGTCAAGACTACTGATTGAGACTTAAGGAATCAAGAATCGAAACTAGTCGCCAATGAGCACTGGATCAATTGACAGTGGGGTTTGTGGGGATTTAGTGATTTTTCAAGTTGGTGTTCATCATTCCAATGATAAACCCCAACTTGAAAAAATCACTAAATCCCCACAAACCTCCGAATTCAATACGTCAGAGATTGTCTACGAACTCTATAATCTTAAATTGCCTATAATATTCCTTATGTTTGGTCTAAATTACATATGTGCAGAAACTGTTTGCTTAACGGTTAAGGATACAGTTTTTGATTTCTATACGTTCACTGCAGACAGAATTTCATATATTTATTTCTCAGTGTCACCACCCATATCGCTGCTAGCTCACTGCAGTGAACTTCAAAATAATTTTACATACAAGGCCTTAATCAGTAAAAGAGTAAATTGATGCCAAGTAACCTACTTGTAAACGTTTTCTGATCCAATAATAGACCTTCAGCAATTCAAATAGCTAAACGCTTACGTATCTTACATTATTACTGAATGATGTTCGCTGGAATCTTAATAGGAGCATAGGTTTCATCAAGAATCAAAATACGTCTCGCTCGCGGGTGCCAACTGGCCCAAAGTAAAGGCATTAATAGCTTGAGGTTGGCTGAATCCTAAGAACTGGTGTAGGGTTATATTTAGTTTTTTTCAACCTTTTTCAGACTAGTTCTTTAAATTATTGAGTATCTTTTTGAATAAATAATGCATCTCATTCACGAAAACCCCAATACAAAATTTAAACTCAGTTTTCTGCGACCCTGAATTTCATATTTTACAATTATTCCAAAAAACAAATTTTATTCCCACTCATATAACATGGGTTTACAGTTACAGTATGATGAAAAACCTAATGAGATGAAGGTGCATGCGAATTGGCAATGGCCAGTTCCACTGTCATATTTAACTGGTTATTGATGAGGTAGTAGAAGTCTTACAGATTAATATTCATGATATGGGGTGATGATTGCACATTAATATTCACTTCATCTACTTCCCGTATTATTGCCTGTCTTTTTCACTTGCTACATATCAAGATCACTTCTTGGCGTAATCTTATATATAATAAATTTCACCCAAAATGAAACTTTCTGGAGCTTTTAAATATTTTTGGATCACTCTTCTGGCATTCAGAAGTGTCATTTTCTGCTGTTTGTATCCCGTACTATTGGCCTTACTTCCAATTATGATACCTGGAAAGGTAAGATCTGAATTCTGTCATTATACGTTTTACTTTGAATGTGACTCTGAGTTTATCTACTAAAACCAATTTCATTCCAATTATATGTAAATGGATTTGTTGAGGTATATATCTTAATCCAATTAGACACTGAATCCTTGTAAGACTTTCTCTAGTTCACCTACAATGCTTCCAGGATATATATGAAATAAATGACCACACCTAAACCTAAAACGATAATGCATCTACACAAATGAAAAGCATTGACAGCTTGGTAAGGATTATTAAATGAAAGTCTCTCTCTGAGGAACATGGAATGAGGCTTGTGCATGTATTGGAAGCCAAAAGGAAACTTTTATAAATCCTGTTTAGTTAGAAAGTTTAAACAGTTCTGTTCAATCGCTGATCTTAAAATAAACTGGAAATCATCTAATCTGAAAGTGTGATTGATTCGTACGTTCAGTATAAACTTTTGCATCACAAAGTACTTTCACCATATATCTTGCAAAGACTGTATCGCATTCTCAGTTATTTACATAATGAAAAAATTCCAAGGCTATGTTTTCTGATATTGCTGTCAAGCTTTTCCTGATTATAAAAATGTTTTGTTAGAGCTGGCAAGAGACTCTCAACAACAAGAATCAAATTGTAAGCTATCACAACTGATTAGCGTTCGACATGCTGGCAGAGTTAGCTAAAAGTGATTTTAGTGTCGGAAAATCACTCACTCATTTTTGACACAGTCTCACAAGTTCAAAAAAACACATTTCAGTTATCATTATAGGAAATCACACTTTGTATTATGTTTTTTACTATAGCCAGCTAAAGGAGCCTACGTGTTTACTACTTATGACTGGTCTGTGGGTGACTGAGGCTATACCCATTTACATAACTGCTCTGGTTCCATTGGTTTTTGGACCCTTGCTTGGGATTGCACCAGCGTCAGTCATTTCACCATCATACATGAAGGTGAGTCTTTTAACATGATAATTTAAAATAGTTTTTATCTGCACTGACTACTTTGGTTTATACAAATCACAATTTTTTGATGACTGCTAACTCAATTCAGGAGTGGTGAATAAGCAAATCTTATCGTTTAACTCGTATAGCTTACAGTCAGTTTTCCACTTATTTTATCTAACTTAAGCCAGTATTCATGTTTGTCAAATAAATTGATTCGAAACACCAAGATCTTAAAAAAACATAGGTACAGAAACAATCTTAATTTTCTAGGCCCTCCTACCACCACCCAGATTGCAAATAACAAGCAGTAAAAATGGCGATGTACGCTCGACAACATAAAAGCCATGAATGAGAAGTATAATTTTTGCTAAATCTAGCTTTTAGTTTTTAAAATTACAGATTAAATTATCGTGGATTAGTAGTGGTTCGTGTGGAAGAATTTCCGCAGTGTGAAAAGACACTAGTCACTCTTTTCTTTGGAGTCAACACTTCAGTGGATGGCCAAAGAATAGGTATTGCATTAAGGAACTCCGCTATAAATGTGAATGTTAATTCAAATAACAGGTTCAGTTCAACACTTGAAATTACCAAGTTTTACTTTCTGTAAATGACTTTACCATGATGTTAAATGTTTTTCTTTAACACATCTTGCCTGGCAAATTCAGTATCAATAATGTGAAAACAAAAGTATTTTTTCGCATTGTGAGGATACAGATTGTTTGTCCATCATCTGTTGGAAAGCAAACATGACTGAAAGTGGTATTTGTCAACGCACCTTTAAAAATTACTTATCTCTGAACAATTCATAAGGTTGTGGATATGTGTTGTAAAACTGTTATCAAACAGAAGTAACTGTGCAACTATTCACTATCCTGAACAGGATGGTTCACACTATTATTTGCTGTAAAAGATATTATTACAAAGGTTAACATTTTACCATCTGCCTAGTGCGGATGTTATTCTTGTTACCTAGTAAGCTGAGCATTCTTTTGCACTTGAAACGTTAGTTGTGAGTAAAATTCACACTATTTAAGCTTATCCTCGCAACCAGTAAAGAAGACATCTTTAATACATCAAAATGTTCTCTGTTTTAGGATACAAATGTACTTTTCTTTGGTGGCTTGATGGTAGCTTGTGCAATGGAAAACAATTATATCCATAAACGAATTGCTATCTCCGTTCTCAAACTAGTTGGAAGTGACCCAAAAATGTACGTTTTTTATAATTAACATATCGCTAACAAAATCTGTGTGCTTTTGGAAATTTATAGGGTAATTAGAATTATCACTGACAGTTATAGCAAGCAAGTTAGAAAAATTCAGTGTGTAAGTTCCTTTCAGAAAGTACAAGGGATAATTAGCAGATTAGCGGTTTACTTATAGGTATATATCCGAACCAGGTTGATAATTTAAAAAAGCTTATGAATTGGTTAAGTGATATTTTTGCGATATAATGCATGTGAAAAAACCGTTTTGTGCCTTCTTTGTTGGGAAGTATAAATATCATAACAATCAAAATCCAATATTTATGTAAATAAATAGCACTGGATTTTATCTGAGTTTTTTCACGATTAGAATGTAGGAGAAAGTAATACACTATTTACCATCTCTATTTTCACAGAAAGCATAAGTGATGATAGTCTCTGACAATACTTTTATATTGTGCGTTAATCATTTGCAAAGAACTACCCTAATTATTATGGTAGTTTCAAATAAACAATATTTAACTGCACGGAGTCAAACAGAAAAGTCAGCTTACTTTTAAACCAAGAAAATTCATTTTTGTGTCATACTGACGATTGTATCTTTTGTCAGTGTGCCAACTTTTTGTATTAATGCAGGTTTGGCTGATTCAAATGAATTCCAGAAGCTTCTGTCGAACATATATTCGTACAGCAAGCGTAGGATTAGAGAAAATACTGTACATGAATTTCAACGGTTCACCCACAACACTAAAATTCTATATCAGGAAAATGTTTAGGTAGAGAACTGCTTACTGATCTTGTTTGTCTCTTACTCGACTATTCTGGATGATGTTCAAAAATGAAACTTACCTAATCGCTTCTCCGATATCTCTCTTTCGACTTTAGAAAAGTGATATAAGACTACAAACATGCAAACCTCTACCTACATCGGTAAATCCCTTTTTTCCTATAAAATATGTCTATACATTTAAGATGATCCACTATTATTATTACTTGTCTCAAATTCTCTCTCCTGCTTGCAAACGTTATTACCTATACACTGAACCAGACCCATTTTTACCGATAAAGGTTCAGATGGTTGGTAATCCAAGGAGCGTTTTGAATGATAAGTTTTCTCATAAGAACTATTTTCTGAACTTCCATTGCTAAACGGTAGATCGCACTTAATTAAGGCTTATTGGCTGAGTCTCGTTCGAATCAGACTAAGGAGAGTCGAATAGATGAGATGGCAGATGTCGCAAAAGTAAGCTTACTTTAAACCATTCTGACTCAGAAACTAGCTTGATCATTTGTATGTCATTAGATGTATCACCAAGTGTAGGAGATAAAGAATTACCTTTGTAACATGGATGTCGCCCAACAGCATCAAGATATGATTAAGATTTGGCATAACAATGATTAGCATTGGTGTATCCACCAGTCAGTTTCCAGTATTCAACAGTCTCAACAATTGTTCCGAACGAAATAATGAAGCCTTGTAAAACGTTATCAAGTTTGCTTAAACGAGGATGGAATGTAGGCTAATTTCAAGTTATAACAGTGGAAATTCCACAATGGTGCTCAAAGTTTAACAGTTTTATAAATCTCTGTACATTTTTCTTAAATTATGTCAGATTACACGTCACATCGCATCACATCTGTACACTACCAAAGATTCATCTGTTGTAGGCTCATGCTGGGATTTATGCTACCAAGTTGGTTTCTGTCAATGTGGATGAGTAATACTGCCACTACAGCCATGATGATCACAATTGTGGACTCACTGCTCTCTGACTTTCTCAAAATGGGTAATCAAGACTTTCAGTTAACCTTGTATCTATCAAGTTTGCTATTTGTGATATTATTACCAACATACTCAGGTTTCCACATTGTTGAGATTATTTAAACTTTTAAAAGCAACAGAGGCTAGTTTTGTAGAAAACTTAGCATTATGTAGGCTGTAAGCCAAGAACTGTTCATCTTGCAAAAGTAGTGGAGTATTATAGTAAGAAGACTGATGATGAATAGCGAAATTCGTTGAACTGGAGATGCACAGACAGTTGTGTTCAAAGAGAACGATGTTAGTTCTGGCATTTTACAGCACATTTGCTGAATTCATAGAATGTAGTGACAAGGTCCGTGAATTCATTTCCACTTTGTTGCGTAGCTTCTGGCATATATCAGATGGAAGCAACACTCCTTTCTTCGAATAAACTTTAACTGTTCTCCACCTAACCATGCACAGTAATTTACTGAGTAAGCATCGTGACCGCTCATGTAGGACTGTAAACCATATCAATAAATAAAATTCCGTTGGTCAGACTAAATTATAAATGAATTCAGCATTAGATTTTGCACTGCATGAACATGATGTCTTGGCTTACATTATAATTTCTAGGGTTTTGGAAGCTTGCTCATGTCTTTTAGCCAGTCACTCCTCATGGCAATTCGATGCGTTGTAAAACTAGGAACTCTGAATACGCAACGGCGAACTAGGTGTACTTTGCAAAAGTGAGACTTGTGCCCAATCGGAAATGGATTCCTGTGTAACTGTTTAGTATGCGGAAAATCCATACAGTGGGAGTTAAGACCGGACTACTACTTATCCTTGATGAAGATTCTTGTCTACTTGTTATCACCATGATTCAAAACTTCTAGGTTACCATCATTTCTGTACACAAGGTAGTTGAAACTGTGAACAGATTCTTGTCACAGTTTTTCACATGAAGGTATTGTCAAACACATCAACCTTCAAAATTTGAATACCATAATGTTCATATAAGGCTATCGAAATGCTTACACCTGATGAACAGACCTTATATTAGGAAAAAATAGCAGATTGTTACTTATCTTACTCAGCATGCAAAGAACAAAAAATAGTTATTTGAAGCTACATCTGGACCGTCGTCAAGCCAGTTGTTGGTAGTCATTAACAGTATGTGTCTTCAAAACAATATAAAGAAAAACTGAAAGCTATGGAGTTTTTTTGCACAGAATTCATTTTAGCTAACATTGGTAGGGTACCACATTGACATGAATCAGAGATAAAGTATTCTGGAGGCTGCCACAAAAGCCAGCGTTTAATGCTGCTTTGTTTTCTCAAATATCTAGTGAGAGAGGGAGGGTCTGTAGTCGAAATTCCTGATAAAGGTGTGCTGTCAAGTTAAATGTCACTATATAATGCTTCAGGTTAAGAAGCAGACGTCAGATAAGCATGCATTTAGTAGTTACCATGACATTCAATTTTTCATTTGAACTATTATCTTTACAAAGTAGCTTGAAATTTACTCATCATCTTTGATTTACTGATCTTTACAGAGGACGAAGAAGATGAGGACAGTAGTAGTGGGTAAGTTATCGGAAAGATTTACATCTTGTGTTCTTATTACATTTCTCAATTTATATTGAAGAAGTCTTTATCATCACTAAATACATATATTAATTGCCGAATTCCCTGGTTTACAATATCTCAGAAGAAATCGTTTCCAGTTTTTTTCGCCTCTAGCCGGTGACACAGCAAAGTGAATGAGCATTGTTAATTATATTTTAAGGTGTAAATTTTGGATACAACAGTGGGGTGTGATGTTTAGGAATAAACTACCTAATCGAGGGGACAACATTATTTAAGTAGGGCATATTTCTTTTAGTTTATTTGGTGGTTCCTAATTGCCTCACGTGAAGGTCAAAGGTTAAACACCATCAAAAATACGGCATACATTGCCTATCCACAAACCAGTAAAACATTAAAACCATCCCATTTTAATTTTCTCTCTCATCTACAAGTCTGTCTTCAATGATTTTTTGTGGGTAAGAAGTCATCAGAATCACAGTCATACGCCGCCGGTGTCCTTACATACTTCATTAAGGTTACTTTTAAATTATGATGAAACATGGAAAACACTTTTATGACTTATATCATTATTACATACCAGAGAAGGATTACAATCCAAAGGAGTAAAACTTTTCATTTAATGAAACCATTTAGAGAAGTTGTAGAGTAGTATTTTACAATAAGATGTAAAAGAATAGTTTGAATTTGTGTTAATGGTATGACATCAGAGAGCAGAATATAAAAATGACAGTGTATAAAACCTCACGCTTAAAAGTCTATCAGGTGATGAAAGCGCGGAATGTAAGAAAGTACGAATAATCTACTGATGTTTGTACTTTATCGGTGATTGTCATTTTGGACTAGAAGAACTGGTCTTCAGTAGAATAAGGGCTCCAACTTGGATACCTATATGTAGCTTGAAGATTGATTGTGAAATCATTTGACTGAGGATGGCTAACCGTGGTAAACAAGGAGCGCGTTCCGTCCTATTTAGGACTAGTCGGCTACATGCACCTACATCCAGGTAAGTAATGGCATTACCACTAAAGCTTGAACCTACCATCTATCGCTTCAGTTGCCAAAACATTATCCACTAACCTACTAAGTCAGCACAGCCATATCTTGTATAATGTAGAGCACTAAGTAGGAAAACATATGTTACAATAGATAACAGGTAATTTTCATTCCACAAGAGGTGGCAGTCATAACTTTATGATCCTGAAGAATAATGGGGATGCTAACAGAGATAGTTGGGGGGAGAGGTTAGAATGCTTTCAATGACTTCAATGCAAGTTCTTGCGACTGTGAAGTTCCACATAGGAGGAAATCAGCGTCCTGGACTCCGCTGCTAGCGAGAACCGATGAAAAGTGTTAATTGCTTCTGAAGAAGCATATTACGTGAAAGCGTCTACTTGACTGATGATAAGAAGTTAAAGGAAGGTACACGGCCAATTAGGAAAGAAATATTAGTAAGTTAATAATAATTCAATTAGCAAAGTAAGACGGTGATTTAGAAAAACGGACCATCAGACACTGCTTCTGTTAGATGGTATGAGTCCATTGACTTTAGTTCCGTGTTTATCACTGCTCATTAAAAAGTTGCATCAGCGACTTTTGGAGAAATTATACACACTCAGAGGCTTGAAACTTCGTCAGCCAGTGCTACGTTTGTAGAACTCATCGCTAAACTATTCATACTGAAATAAAGTGATTGATAACGGGAGGGTAACCTGTTTTCGCGTTGTCCATTCCTAAATGCTGTTTCTCCTCCACTCTTATTCATGATTGAATTGATGAGTGGCAACTACTGTTGACGTGTATAGTCTGTAAAATCACTTGATCTTTTTTGTTGGTTGCAGAATATAACCTGAATCGCAGTACTGAAATATCTTCTAAAAAATATAGTTGATCTACTCCTAAAAACCTCCACTGCCGTCTCATATTTGACTACAATTAGGGTATTTTAGGGTATTTTTCAGGAATTGAACGAGGTTATTTTTTTGCAGAAGATTTTGATTTCAAATTGTATTGAAAAATCCACCGGAGTGACCATTTTGGATGAGTACTTTGTGAGTCTTTATAGTCCATTATTATTCGTGTCTTCTATGCACATCATTGTGATTCCCGAAGAAAATGAATGGAATAAAAATTGTTTTTCTAACCACCATCGACCAACTTTAGCAATGAACAGTATTTCTCTCCATGTTATTTTCCCATCAGTCAATCTCTGAAAGGAGCAATTTTATCTTTTATTCAACATAACACACCGAAACTGAAACTTGCTGTTCTTCTGAGAATCGATTGCCAGCTTGACTTGCTGATGACGATAACTAATGTTTTAGGTATGTTCCATGGATGGTAAATCTATCACTCATGTATCCGCTATCCGGTTGATACTATTTAATCACGAAAGCGTTACCGTCTGATAGTGGCGGACCAAGAGGTGGTTACTGGTCCTTTGCTTTGTCCGTAAAACTTACTCTTACGTAGAGATTGAACGTTGGCAGTACAAAGCATAGGCATTTCTTTGAAATTATGTTTTGAATAACTATATCAAATGTATTACATTTAATATCGCATGGGAAGTAGATAGATTATCTAAGCGGTAAATTGATAAGAGTGACATAACTTCTAGAGACACCATCCAGTTACCAGACATACTGACGTCCTGTATTGCAGTTTTAGAAGTCCACAAAGGTACAGCATTACAGAACTATATAGACATAGAAATCCAAAAATTGAGTAACTTTCTGTCTGGTTATTTCGATCCTATGTTTGAGTGCATGTTGTGTTTCCAACTTTTTCGTCTTCCGATTTAATGGACTATGGTCTTACGAAGTAGTTCAATCAACCCATTAGGACTGTGTCAAAGTCCTTACAAGGATAAGTGAAAAGCACGTCTTTATTTTTCGAACGATTGTCTTTAACGTTTTTCTCATATTCAATTTATTAATAATGTTGTTGGCAGAAATTCATGATGGCTGGTTTAAGCTGTTCGAATTTCCTGTTTGAAAATGAAGGAGGATCCTTCCTCTGATTACTAACAGACAGAAAGATAGATGAAACTAACGTCAAACCTGGCATACAGGTGCAGCGGCTCATGCTGCCACACTTTAAAGCAGTATTCAAAGAACCAGTGGATAGCAAAGACTTATATCAAAGTAGGCAAAGTTGGATGGAAGAATAAACGATTTGAAGTTAACAACTAGTGAAAATATTCAAGGTGTGGAATACGTCGAGTGAATACATCTGCGCTATTGTGACCAGTTTTCAGCCATGTCACCAAAAGTTGCAGCCACTGATTCCCAGGCGGTCTACATTTCCTCACATGACTCAGACCAACAGTCAGAGGATTCATCAACTGGTGTCACTTCTTCGTCTAACCGTCCTAATCCAGCTTCTTCTAATATGGCACTTTGAGGTAAGCGGTAGCTCGGCATGCGCAGTACATGTCAAAGCCACCTCAGTCGACAAAGTTTCACAACCTCATCGATGGACTTCCCTATCTTGCCAAGTAATTTTCATTTGACCTCAACATTCTTCACATGGTGATCCCACTAAACGCTAACAATATTGCGGAGACACCTATGATCAAAACCTTGTAATCGCTTCATGTATTCTACTTTGAACGGTCCTGTCACAGGAGTATAATGAGACAGAATGAACTGCAGCATAGTATACTAGTCCCTTGAGGATAGTTAGATATCTTGCCAGTCGGCGCCAAAGATAATGCATGTTGACAAGTGCCAAACGGGCTTTCTGCATCCTGGCTGAGAGTACGTTTTAGTAACCAGGCTGTTCGAACTACTGCAACTTCTCAAGTGCAGTGGTTAACACATTCCACTACTTCACTCCTATATCCGTAAACTGAAAGTAGTTGCAGATCAGTCCTCGACCATAATCTTACATTAGATAGGTACGAAATACATGCTAAACATACTGAGGTTTCTGCACAACGCGTTCAGAAAACACTACGTTTTGCCAGCTTTATCTTGATTATCAAAGCATTATAAACTGATTCGGGTAGTAAGTTGATGAATATTTGGAGGAAATCAAAGAATTTTGAACTCAGAGACAGTACTTCATGCTTCAGTGAAGAATATTGATGTACAGGAGTAATTGAATGCATTGACTATTACCCTGTATAGTTGAACAGGGTAAACTTTCCGGCTTTCTTAATGTTAACAAACCACAGCTGAAGTAATTTTTAGAAGCTAAAGCTCAAACATTCATGTTACTTTGTAATACTAGAGATTTTATTTGTATATAAATGGTGACTGAACTTGGAAGGGTTTTTTAAAAACTTCAGGCACAGTTTTCTACTTGTAAGATTCACCTGCTGGTACAAACCCAAGGGTATTCACGAAGCGACATGGATTTCACCAGACACCAGGACACACTAAAAATAGGATCGAATTCATCCCAATCTCAAGAAAGTAAAGATGCAGTCTACTGGACACAAGATCAACAAATAGAGCAGATGTAGTTTCAGACCATTATCTAATGCAAAGAAACTTCCAAATCAAGTTGAAAGCCTTGAAAGAAGTTGGTGATAATAGACCACAGTTCCACCCCCAGAAACTGAAAGGCAAAAATACAAAGGAAATCTTCACGTCAGCCATTAGAACAAAATGGGAGACATTAAGCAACATATCTAAAGGATCGGAAGTGGAACAACACTGAAGCTCTTTGAAAGGGATGTGGAAAGAAACCTGCATAACCGTGTTCGGGAAGAAATCAAAGCAAGAGGAGGAATGAATATCTACGGATACACAGAGACTGATGAAGGAGAGCGAGATGGTGAAGTAGTAGATGAACCAGTAAAAGGATGAAAAACAAGAAGACGAAATGAGTACAACCTACAAAACACTGGACAAATAAGTGTAGACAAGTGGACGGAAGGACAAAAGACACTACTACGACACACTTGCAAGTGAAGCAAAGCAGGCTGCGCGAAAGACAGACCTGAAAACATTACATCAAATAACCAGCAAACTATAAAAAATATAACAACAAAAAAGAAAACAGTGACAGATACTCAAAGAAAAGCATTTGATAACAAAGAATGGAAAGGAAGAAAACGATGCTACGAACTGTACAAAAACTAAAATCAACACCAACGAAAACTCATCCAGCAATAACAACAACAGATGAGCCACACAAATATCCATGAACACAAACCGTCCGACAAAAGCAGAAGTGATGCCTGAACGCCATAAGGTCGCTGAAATCCGGAAAAGCAACAGGACCAGATGGAATTCAACCAGAAGCACTGAAAACCGACACAGAAACAACAGCGGACATGCTCACACCACTACTGCAGAAAGTTTGCAAGAAGGGAAGGAAAGGTGCCTGCCGATTGGAAGATAGGCTATCACCTTGTCGAAATCCCAAAGAAGGGAGATGTAAGCTGAGCAAGAACTGGTGCGGAATCATGCTCCTATCCCTTTCCACCCCAAGCAAAATATTATGCCGCAGCATCCTGGAGAGACTAGAAGATGCGCTGGATTCAAAATTACAACAGGAACAGGATGGCTGGCTACCTGGCTGGCTGCTGACTGACTGACTGACTGGCCAGCTTCAGGAAACACAAATCATGTGCACATCAAATTGTACCGACACTCTACGCAGCACCTCATCATAGAACAGAGCAGAGAATGGCAGTCAACTCTCTACCTCAACTTTATCGACTTTGAAAAAGGCCTTCGACAGCGTCGACCTCGAAGTCATTTGGCAGGCAGCTGCTTCAGCACTATGGAGTGCCACTGGTCTTTATCAACCTCGGTCAACACACATATGACGAATCTACACACCAAGTGATTCACAAGTGAAAGCACAGCGACGCCTTTGAAGTGAAGACAGGGGACAGGAGTAGTACAAGGTTGCGGCCTACTACCACTGATCATCTACCCGATTGTGGTCGACTCGACTGGATCATGCAACAGATAATTGTGAGGAGTGAGATGATGGGCATACTCTGGTTGAACCGGTGAAAAGACTCCAGAAGAAGATTTGGATATCGCAGCCGATGGTGATTTGTCTCTAAGTCTAATATCGAACAAAATCAAGGATCTAGAAGCGAAGACCAATAAGTTGGCAGAAGAGGGGAGGCAGGACAGCGAGGGAAGACGGGACTTCAAGTGGATGTAGAGAAGACAGAGGTGATGAAGATTCCCAACCAACAACAACAAGCACCAACCAACATCAACGGGAGAAATCCTAAGCAAGTTGTCTCCTTGACACACCTTCCTAGGCAGCATCGTTCCAACTACAGGGGGTGGAACGGATAGGGACGTCAAAGCCAGGATTGGAAAGCAAGACAGGTCTTCATCAACCTGAAACCAGTGTGGAGATCTACTGCACTCCTTTCAGCATAAAGCATGAACAAGATCCGGATTTTCAATACCAACTTCAAGTCAGTAGTTCTATGTGATGGTTCAGAGACTTGGCGCGTCACGGAGAGCATTCCCAACAACCTGGAGACATTCATCAACAGCTGCCGCCAACGCTCACTCAATATTGAGGGTCAGATGGCCAGAATAACGAGAATAAGCAACAAGGAACTGTGGCTGGCAACGAACCAACCAAGAACCTATTGTCGAGCAAATATACAGAAGAAAGTTGAGATGTATTGGATTGGGCATTCACTGAGAAGACCATTCAGAGACATCACGTCCCAAGTCCTCGAGTGGAATCCGAAGGGGAAACGACGAGATGGGCGTGTGAGGGTGACATGGAGGAGATGGTGTGAGGAAGAGATGAAAGCTTGTGGGCAGTTGTGGTGCCAGGTTGACGAGACTGTAGAGAACGGAGTGAAATGGAGACGTGTAACTGAAGCCCATTGTTCCACTGGGAACCCAAGAAGCATTTAATTATTGTAATTATTTTTTTCTAATTCTTTGAGGTTCATGCCAATGTACTAATGTGGTTATTTGAGTTTAATTACCACAAAATAAGTGCCGTCTTATGAGATTTTTATGTCAGAAATTGTGACTGGATGCTAAGTAATTATAAAAATATGGAGAGGCATATATGTTATGCTAAATAAGGTATCCTATGAGTTTGTAAAAGTTATCCACATTTTCATTTGCGATTTTTAAATTCTTTATATATGACAATTCTCCAAAAGCAACGTAGTTTTCAGCCGCAGGTCGTATTCAGAAATTGGAGTTTCTGAATGTCTTTACAACACAGTGAAAGGGGTAAAATATATTTTTGTAAAATTGTTGAATCATAATATCAGTTCACAGTTTATAAAAACCACGCAGTTGGTAGACTGAATTAGAAAAGGATTCTATAAATGATGGAGTAATTCTTTTGCAGCAGTGTTTTTAGGCCAGTTTAAAAAGTTTGGGGCAATTATTGGAGTAAAAGTTAAGTCCCTAGGCACGGTACGACTACACATCAAATTTATTTATTTCACATAAGACAGCTGTGGGCTGTTGACGTTCTGAGCACCATTTTCATAAAGATTCAGTTTTATTTACTGGATGATGTTTTGAGCATATTTAATAGCTCATGACTGTATCACAGCGATCACGCAACATTCTCTCTTACCAAATATATCTTCGTTATTTTCCATTTTCTGATTTTATGTTGTTTTTAATGTTCTAAATAACTGAAATCTGATGAATGCATACAGGAAATATTTTTTTCATTCAAACTGACGTCGCAAATGAAGACAGTCATATATACTGTTTTTTTTATCCATACATTTGCTGCTGCTACATTTCACAACTGGAAAGTTAACATATGTATTTCATTACTCAAAAGACTAAATCATTCCTATATATTTTTGCATCAAGGTAAAGAATGCAGTCGAATTCTAAATCAAAATAGTGGTGTACTACTCTCCAGGTTTTATAAGATAGTTAGTTCTACTTGATTCAACATGCATGTTGCAGTAAATTTCGCTATTAAACGTCACGTCAAAGACAGAGTTACCAAATTTTAACATGATTTCAATTATTCATTTGATACCTTCATCTTTTTCTTGAAGCGATGCACCTGCATTAGATTCTCAGAAAATTTTCGACAGAAATGGACGTCAATTTCAAGCAACAGTTATTCAGTTAGAATACAACGAACAAGAAGAAAGAGTGACTTCGAAAAAAACCGACTGAAGAGAATAAAAAGAATGAATACTGGCTTTAGTCTTGGCATCGCTTACGCATCTTCAATAGGTGGCATAGTGACGACGATTGGAACGCCACCAAACTCTATTCTCCAAGGACAAGTCCTAAGGTAGGGTTTTTATATTGGTACTTATTTTTTCCTGTTTCAATGGTGATATGAGTGATTTAATTAGACAACCTGAAAAAAAATACCCCTACATATTCGAGAGTTAGCAGTTATAGGTGATGCAAATACTTTATTGACATTTATAAACGTGAGTAATTATTTTTCCAGTGTAAGACAACCCTTGAGAAAAGCATTGGTAAATGTTACACACTTGATAATTAATTTACTCGATTTGCAACTTCAACTTGATTACCAACCACTTTTATTCTTGAGATAGAATTACTTAATTCCGAATTTAAATTTACTTTTCTTCTAGCCGTTACGGTCCCTCAACAGGTTTGGATTTCGGCAGATGGATGGGTTACGCCTTCCCACTTTCAACTTTCATGCTCCTATTCACTTGGTTGTGGTTATGCTTCCTGTTTATTGGTCCAAAGTAAATAATACAAACCTTGTTTCATATATATATATATATATATATATATATATATATATATATATATATATATATATATATATATATATATATTATTCTTTATTATTATTAGTCCCTTAGGTTCCTAATGGAACATAGGGCTTCAGTAACACGTCTCCAGTGAAATCTGTTCTCCGAAATCTTTTGAACCTGGCTCCACGACAGCCCATAAGCTCTCATTTCCTCCTCGTACGATCTCCTCCATGTCACTCTCACCTCGGACGCCCAACTCGTCGCTTCCCATCTGGGTTCCACTCGAGGGCCTGGCACGTGATGTCACCAGTCGGCCTTCTAAGTGCATGCCCAATCCATCTACACTTCCTTCTACATATTTGTTGAGCGATAGGTTCTTGGTTGGTTCGTCACCAGCCACAGTTCCTTGTTGCTTATTCTTATTGTTCTGGTCATCTGATCTTCAGTAGCGAGCCAGCATAGGCAGTTGTTGATGAATGTCTGTATGTAGTTTGTTAGAAATGCCTTTCGTAACGCGCCAAGTCTCTGAACCATACAGAAGCACTGGTTTGACGTTGGTGTTGAAAATCCGGATCTTGTTCATCACGCTTTATGCTGAGTGCAGAAGATCTCCACACTGGTTTCAGGCTAGTGAACGCCTGTCTTGCTTTTCCGATCCTGACTTTGACATCCTCGTCTGTGCCGCCTGTAGTTGAAGTAGTGCTTCCTAAATAGGTGAAGGAGGATACTTACTTTAAGTTTCTCTCGTTGATAGTGATTGGAGTTTGTTGTTGATGCTGTTGTTGGTTGGGTATCTTCATCACTTCTGTCTTCACTATATTCACTTGAAGTCCTGTCTTCCCTGCCTCGCCTCTTCTGCCAACTTGTTGGTTTTCGCCTGTTTCTAGTTTGTGTGACATCAGACACAAGTCATAGGCGAAGTCTAAGTCTCCTAGACTCTTTTTCACGGTCCAGCGTATCCCTCTCTTCTCGCTCCCCACTGTTTGTTGCATGATCCAGTCGACCACAATCAGGAATATCATGGTGGATAGTAGACAGCCTTGTTTCACTCCTGTCTTCACTTCACTTCAAAGGCGTCACTGAGCTTCCCACTGTGAATTAATTGGCATGTGGCATCTTCATATAGTTGTTGAATGAGGCTGATGAAGGTTTGTGGTATTCAATGGTATTAAAGCAGTTTCCGAATCACTTCGATGTCGACGCTGTCAAAGGCCCTTTCGAAGTCGATAAAGTTGAGGTGTAGAGTTGACTACCATTCTATACTCTGTTCTATGATGATGCGAAACGTTGCAATTTGGTCCGCAAATGGTTTGTACTTCCTGAATCCAGCCAGCCAACCCGTTGCGGTCGTAGTCTTGAATCCAGTGCATCCTTTAATCTCTCCAAGATGATGCGGCTTAATATTTTGCTTCCTCTGGGTGGACAGGAGAGTGATTCCGTGCCAGCTCTTGCAAACACTGAGGTCCCCCTTCTTCGGGAGTTTGACAAGGTACACCTTCTTCCAATCAACCGGCAGGTACCTTCCCTTCCTCCCACACCTTCTGCAATAGTGGTGTATGCCACTATAATTAGAATAAAATTACTTTTAGGAATAATCATGAACAAAATATGCTGACAGCCTAGGTTATATATATATATATATATATATATATATATATATATATATATATATATATATATATATATATATAGTTGATCACTTCACGTTAACATACGAATAACAGCCGTACAGAAATTCATGTGATAATTACTCACAACTTATTTAGCCAAATTATTAACCACACAGGACAATAAAAATATGTTCAGTCAGGTAGTTACCTAAGCACCGAAATGTGCAAAAATATCAGCGATTTAAACCAAAAATGTAAGCCAAGAAACATCTCTCATATATACATATATATATATATATATATATACATATATATATATATATATATATATATATATATGGAATGATTTGTCCCTCGTGTTCCTACACGTCTAAATTTCACTCCGTTCTCTACAGTCTCGTCAACCTGGCACCACAACTGCCCACAAGCTTTCATCTCTTCCTCACACCATCTCCTCCATGTCACCCTCACACGCCCATCTCGTCGTTTCCCCTTCGGATTCCACTCGAGGACTTGGGACGTGATGTCTCTGAATGGTCTTCTCAGTGAATGCCCAATCCAATACATCTCAACTTTCTTCTGTATATTTGCTCGACAATAGGTTCTTGGTTGGTTCGTTGCCAGCCACAGTTCCTTGTTGCTTATTCTCGTTATTCTGGCCATCTGACCCTCAATATTGAGTGAGCGTTGGCGGCAGCTGTTGATGAATGTCTCCAGGTTGTTGGGAATGCTCTCCGTGACGCGCCAAGTCTCTGAACCATCACATAGAACTACTGACTTGAAGTTGGTATTGAAAATCCGGATCTTGTTCATGCTTTATGCTGAAAGGAGTGCAGTAGATCTCCACACTGGTTTCAGGTTGATGAAGACCTGTCTTGCTTTCCAATCCTGGCTTTGACGTCCCTATCCGTTCCACCCCCTGTAGTTGGAACGATGCTGCCTAGGAAGGTGTGTCAAGGAGACAACTTGCTTAGGATTTCTCCCGTTGATGTTGGTTGGTGCTTGTTGTTGTTGGTTGGGAATCTTCATCACCTCTGTCTTCTCTACATCCACTTGAAGTCCCGTCTTCCCTCGCTGTCCTGCCTCCCCTCTTCTGCCAACTTATTGGTCTTCGCTTCTAGATCCTTGATTTTGTTCGATATTAGACTTAGAGACAAATCACCATCGGCTGCGATATCCAAATCTTCTTCTGGAGTCTTTTCACCGGTTCAACCAGAGTATGCCCATCATCTCACTCCTCACAATTATCTGTTGCATGATCCAGTCGAGTCGACCACAATCGGGTAGATGATCAGTGGTAGTAGGCCGCAACCTTGTACTACTCCTGTCCCCTGTCTTCACTTCAAAGGCGTCGCTGTGCTTTCACTTGTGAATCACTTGGTGTGTAGATTCGTCATATGTGTGTTGACCGAGGTTGATAAAGACCAGTGGCACTCCATAGTGCTGAAGCAGCTGCCTGCCAAATGACTTCGAGGTCGACGCTGTCGAAGGCCTTTTTCAAAGTCGATAAAGTTGAGGTAGAGAGTTGACTGCCATTCTCTGCTCTGTTCTATGATGAGGTGCTGCGTAGAGTGTCGGTACAATTTGATGTGCACATGATTTGTGTTTCCTGAAGCTGGCCAGTCAGTCAGTCAGTCAGCCAGCCAGCCAGGTAGCCAGCCATCCTGTTCCTGTTGTAATTTTGAATCCAGCGCATCTTCTAGTCTCTCCAGGATGCTGCGGCATAATATTTTGCTTGGGGTGGAAAGGGATAGGAGCATGATTCCGCACCAGTTCTTGCTCAGCTTACATCTCCCTTCTTTGGGATTTCGACAAGGTGATAGCCTATCTTCCAATCGGCAGGCACCTTTCCTTCCCTTCTTGCAAACTTTCTGCAGTAGTGGTGTGAGCATGTCCGCTGTTGTTTCTGTGTCGGTTTTCAGTGCTTCTGGTTGAATTCCATCTGGTCCTGTTGCTTTTCCGGATTTCAGCGACCTTATGGCGTTCAGGCATCACTTCTGCTTTTGTCGGACGGTTTGTGTTCATGGATATTTTTGTAGCTGATCTGTTGGTGTTTTTCCCGGACCATTTGCCGTTGCTTGTTTTATTCGATTTCTTTTTTGCTATGGTTATCGCTTGATATATGTATATATATATATATATATATATATATATATATATATGTATATATTTATATATATGTATATATATATATTTATTTATATACATAAATATTTATTTATTTATATATTAATATACTTATATATGTCTAAGTATGTATATGTACCCTCGACTGGTTTCTGTTGCGGTTGTTTGCTAATGGTTTTTAATCCTGGGCATAGCGTGTACTTTCGGGTCTATGGCCAGCTCCGCTTACGATTGTAACCAATGCAGTCGTTAAAGAAACTTCAACGCACATCGTAATCATATGAAAATATACTTATATATCTTTGAAATAGGTTAGACGAGATGATCCCGTTCAGTGACAGCCTTTAGGAGGCCAATTTTTCGATATGTCTTCCCTCGTTTAAAGGAAAACTAAGCATAGGGACATGGAATGCCCGCTCGACTTTTAAGGTTGCCTGGCAAGGGTGCTCAGATTGCAAATTAAATGGGAATATATGGCACGAAATTGTGGCTTAATAGGCTACCGATAGAAGATACGTGACAACATTATATCAAACGACCAGGTTACTATCTGGGAAGAGGTCAACTCAGATGAAACCAATGAAAGATAGTGAAGGAATCTTATTTACTACCAAGGAGAAACAAAGGGAACGAAACGCATGATATATATATATATATATATATATATATATATATATATATATATATATATATATATAGAATTTAAGAACCCATCGCCGAACAAATATGCAGAAGACAGTTGAGATGTATTGGATTGGGCATTCACTGAGAAGACCATTCAGAGACATCACGTCCCAAGTCCTCGAGTGGAATCCGAAGGGGAAACGACGAGATGGGCGTGTGAGGGTGACATGGAGGAGATGGTGTGAGGAAGAGATGAAAGCTTGTGGGCAGTTGTGGTGCCAGGTTGACGAGACTGTAGAGAACGGAGTGAAATGGAGACGTGTAACTTAAGCCCATTGTTCTATTGGGAACCCAAGGGACAAATATCAGTCATAATAATAGTAATAATACACACAGAATATGTATACGGAGAGAATTCTCTAATTATGAAATTACGCACCACTGTAGCGGCGATAATATTTTCATAGTCAGTTATCGATCGCGAGTTATCTGTGTGATAATAATTAACTGGGCTAATTTACACTGTAATTACAGTATAGAATATTTACGTGGTAAATTTTGTGAAATTTTAATGAGGTTGTTACATAAATCTGAGAGTTAAACTTGTGCGCTGTGATAGGATGTCATTCCATTTTAACGGATTTATTAGATTCATCACATAGTGAACAGTATTGTTTACTGGATTACTTTTCGGAATATAATATAACTATGGACTAAAAATAATTTCCGAAACGTAATCCAGTAAACAATGTCGTTCTACTATGTGATAAATCTAACATATCAATTAAAAAGTGTCGTTACACAGTTCGTAATTTGTGTTGCAGTAACTAACATGAAGAAAATAGACGTCGAATTATTATTTATTTCAAGTGGTCAATTGTTGATCGTAATTACAATTTTCTCATGCATTTCTAAATTTTGATGGTTAAGCCGCCATTCTTAATACACTGTCTACTTACATTTATTAAGTAGCTAGAATGAAATAACCATTTTTTTTATAGGCTGAGTTAAAAATGTTCTCAACCTGCGGAAATAATTTAAATGACGAAGCGATGGATTGATTAACACCCAATTCTTTTTCAGAAGCCGTTTTACCTGTAAGCAATCAGAAAAGAGGAAGAAACTAATGGTTCGTTTACTCGCAGCAGAAGAACAGAAACTTGGATCATTAAAGTAGGTGGAATTATAAGTAAGACATTTCTTTCTTAATTTTAAAGATGCTTTCATGCAGTTTGGTTTGCCTTGTGTCGCATTGTTGCAATCTTTGCTGTCAGTCACCGGATAAACACGCACTGATGCTGATTAAAAGGAAATATAGTAGTAGACGATCATGAAACTTCTGAATTTCATGGGATATAATTTTGTTGTTGTAAATACTTTAGAAAATTCTTGTCTCATAAATGCATTCTCCCTAAATAACTTTTATGGGCTGTTTCACAAAATTATTCGGTCACTGGAAGGATCAATGGCACTTTACTGCGAAATAGGTGAATTTACATGCTATGTAGTGTGAAGATATTAGGTGACTGGATTTTTCACTTTCCTATTTTCTCAAGTCAAAAGACAACCAAAATCAGTGGAAGTTCCAATCACTTTGGATCCGGAAAGTTTAGTGTTCCTTAGTGTTCAATGAACAGCTTTTAGGTGGTTAACTGGAGTAGATTATTATCAGATCTTACGTAAATTTGGGAGAACAAAAGTCTGATACCAGTCAGAAATTTATTTGACATTCTTCAAATAATTATCAATAATTCTGTTGAATGATGATACAAAAAACACAACTATTTCAGTTGCAAACAACAGGCTTAGTCTGGTAGCATTTTTCCTCAGTTATCTCTTTTGAAAAATGCTTGCTATATGAATATTTGCCAAACAAATGCAAAACGCTTTAGAGTATAAAGTTAACTTCTTGAATCTACACATAATGCTTCACTTCACAAATCGATGCAAGTAAACTTTGAAGAGGTTGGTACAACTTTAAAAGTTTTATTCTTCCCCATTCGTTGACGCAAATATGTGTATTTTGAAAAAGTCAATCACGTAAAAAAACAGTACTGGCTTGTTTTTATCTGTAGGGAAGAAGAAAATACATTATTTTAGACAAGGCATTTTCTCCTATATACACAACTGTTACAATTCATTATACGGTATGCTTCTTTGTGTATGCTACACAAAGTCAGTCATATAAACCATTGTGAGGTTACTTGATGTATGCAAGATGACTGATTACATTTAAAAATGGAATAACCAAGTCTGAGTTACCTAGATATATTTTTAAAATTTATATGGCTAAACCTGAATCAGAAGATTGCAGTGATGCCTTTTCAGGTAGACACTTTAGAAACTACTGAAATACATCCCAACAAAGGAGAGGTATGTGTACTGGATATTGTGGAAGGTCTGATGCATGTTTGTGATGAAAACTAGTGCAAAATAAACAAACCTTAATGAATTGTATATAGCTATACAGAAGAGAAATCAAACAGGACACTCTGAAGAGTGGGACGAAGTGCATCGATTTAAACCACTACTGGAAGAGAGAGATAACAAGGAGTACCGGAAGTATGAATTAAAAGATGTGAGGACAATACAAGAGACAGAGAAGAAGAGAACATAAGAACGTACAATTTAGCCACGTACTTAGAATATGATACGTATGCTAAACAAGAATGTACACAGTTAAGCAACTAAAACATTAGTGAGAAATGTATTTTTTAATTCTTTTGTACAAACTACTTGTCACTACTAAGTACCAAATACTCATGGTTACCTAATTGTCTAGATCTTGTATAAAACACTTTATTCTCACCCCAACACCACTACCAATAAAAATCAGAGCATTTTCTCTACTCAACACAGAGCATATTCATGATAGAGACGAAGCATTAAATACCATATATCCAATACGGTCAACTTACCAAACTCTACACTCCTCCTTTCCATCTACGTGATACAAGTGAAAAGTGTTTATCTCAGGAAAAGCATGGTAACTTAACCTAAGAAACAACTAAACCTACGATATTAACTACAATACATTTAGCTGGGTTTGTTAATTAGCAAACCTAACTATATCTCCACTATATTAGTTAATTGTTGATTCTATGTGGTAGACTCTTGTCTGGCATGTTGTTATTTTCGTGGATGTGTAACAGCTGCTCAACCGTAATCATTATTTATGAGACTTTCATGCTAATCCTCACTTCTCGCATAATTGCAAAGACCTCTTCTATTCACTCTGTGGTTAACGCATGAGAATGAAAACTGGTATATTCTAACTCTATTTAATCGCTGTAACATTCTAAATAACTATGCAGTTGTTATGTAAACTTCATACTTCTGCATCTTTTAGTCACAGTTCGTATCTTCCACATTATGCTGGTTAGTTTTAAGCAATATTCATGAATAATACACAACTAAATAACTTCACGCAGAAGTTGTCAGATGGAATTGTTCCCTCAAAAATTCCATGAGAAGTACTTTTCTAATCCTCCACAAAGTTATGTAACGTCATCAGTTTTTATGGTTGTAATGGGAAGCATGAAAAGTCATTCCTTTTAGAATAACTAAAGACGTCATAGCAACATGAAAATTTGATATCAAACTGAACTACGGTAAGAAAACTATCTGTGAAATTTAAAATTGGGTAAGTGTGATCAAAGTACCAATGTGTGATAACAAGAACGTCAGAATCACTCAATACTGAATCTACATTAAATAAGAGTACATTTTAACTGTAAAATGAAGTTTGCTAGTCACTATTACGAAACACAGCTGAAAATGGGATCATCATGTAACGCTTAGAATGAAGAAAATACAAGTAATGATTGAAGTTTAGCAACTTTCAAAGCAGTGCAATCGGAAGCACACCTTAAAAGTATTGCTTCCATCCATCTGTCTTAAAAGCTTGATGATGAATCATATGAAGTATGGCTTATTCCTTTGCACACTTAAAAATTCTCTTACAATAAATAATTGTTATTTAAACCCTTAACTAAGCTGATATTTGTGCAGTATTCACTTAGCATGTATACCTTATCATGCATATTTCGCAAACAGTTTTGATAGCTTGGTAGATGTGAACCCCACTTCCTTATTTCGCTGATGCATATGAAGTTTGTTGACTGAATATCGCTGTCACCTATCAAAGCTGAGAGAACAAGAAATTCTGCCATGAACAATCTTGTTCCAATGAAGATAAATTAGATCCCAGCAGAGTGAAAGCCGGCATATGGTGTGTAAACGTAGAAACTCCGAATTTCCAATTTTATTCACAGGCGTGTGAGATTACATCTTACTTTAGGGATTTCATTATGTATTTATAATCGTCGCTTGAGTTTCGACTTACTATTCTAATAGCATGTAATCATGAAATTACTGTTTCACCTCTTCTAATTTTAGGTATTGTGAAGTATTATCTGCATCTTTTTTTGTGGTCGTTACAATACTGTGGATGACGCGAAGGGTAGGCACATCTGGATGGGAAAAGCTGTTTATCGACCCATCGAACCCTAAACCAGAGTGAGTTTATTTCCGCTGTTTTATGTACCACTGGAGAAAGCAAACGGAAAATAACGAATCATATATTTTGTACTTTGTGAATAAAAACTGCTAAAACCTTTCTCTCTGAGTTTTCAGAATACACTACAAATTTGATAGTTGTAGCATCAGTTTCAAAGAAATCTCAAGTACGCACTGCAACAAAAGTGATATTGTTTTCCTTCTATTTTAAGACCTTTCCCAAAACTGACTTCTTATTGTTCATAGTCATCTGCAGATACATACAAGAAGAAATGGTTGCAATTCGTCGAAATGTACTAGTGAACTACAGATTTCCCCAGCCACTTCAGAGTGATCCGTACACCGGACAGTCAGTTTACTTATTTAGAGCCGAGCTCATCAGCTGTATATGTATGTGAAAAATATCAATGTGAACTGTGCAATTCGTAAATCATTTGCAAACTTATGCTGTTTGTCTCTGAAAAACTTAACTCATAGTTAGGAAAAAGTTAATTAGTATTGATTTCCTTATTCTTATAAGAAGGTATACTTCATGTATCACGAGTTATTTGTAAAGCTGCCAAATATTTTAATGGCTTATATTTGGGAACAGTCACGTATCCAGATAAAAAAGTTACTGAAATATTCTTTATCCAACACAGTTTTTTTAGCAAGCAATATCCCTCGAATAACTTTATGAAACACATGGATGTTCATCACTTCCTTTGAGTTCCACATACGTTGTGATGAATATGGCGAAAAATGAATTTACTTTTCATACCTTATTCACATTTGTACGCTTCAGTAAGTAGGCAAAAATTATTTACAGAATTTGAACACAGTTTTCTCCTAACCTATTGATGATAACTGTACTACGAATGCTGAGTACACAATTTCCAAAAGTCAAACTAACCTATTCTGCTGCGAAAAATCTCAAGCTACTGTATCATATTTACAGAAACAAGTTTTCATACTACCTATTACAGATATCCTTAATGGATTGAAAACCACTATAACAATAAACATTGGCACATCTGATGACGCAAGTAAACACAACTAACATGAGAGATGAAGTTATAACTCCAAATTTTCCAATCATCAACCCCACTACTTGAGGTATTCGTCTAACAGCTATTTGGGTTTCATCATAATATGCAATAGGGTCACAACATAAGAAACATCGAAAATACCTTTTGTCTGCCTCAAGTAGTATGAATAAACCTTAAAGTAGATTAGGATTTCACTTTTTATGTCAACTGTTTATTGATCATTCACACATAATTTAATTTGCTTCCAAAATCATGAGGTCCAAACACATCAAACTTTTACTAATGACAGTTTATCATTTGTCTTTTGTTTACAAGAACCTACATAACAGACAGTGCAGCAGCTATTTTCATGTCCATTGTCGTGATGATCACACCAGCATCTAATCCAATCACGCTCTGGAAACACTGGAAGCACTGCTATGAAACTAAAACTGGTGAGTGTGATTAGCGCTTTTAGTTCGCATTATAAGTGCAACTTTGCATAAGTATATCACTTCAAAAAGCAACAGGAATTTCTCTTCATCTTCACCGATTGTATTGTAAGGGATGCAACGCAATGCGATGCAATGCAATGCTCACCTACACCGTAAACATAAAATAAAGGTGTGAAGCTTGGATGAAAATATCGAAAAGCTCAGTCTTAGGTAAGCAAGCATGAGGCTTATCACGTTTCCGTTATTTCTAGTATATTTGGTGAATTCGTTAAAATATGCAGCAAGATATTTTGAACACTTCTGCTACAACTTAGGTAAGTGAATGAGCATAACCTTTAGAGGTATCAGAAGCCTTCGAAAGATATGATCGTTGAAATAAATTCAACTGCTGGTTTGTAGGAGTTTGCTGATTAGTGAGTAGCTTGGAAGACGGATTTACTTCAGCTGAACTGTGGCCCTGTTTCATCCTATTTTGTGACTCATGCACTAAAAGCAAGTAGGTGGAAACAATGAAAGTAACTTAGTGGCTGATATGAAAATATTTTTGTGATGCAAATTTCGTCATCAAGTAGAAGTGTTCTAGTGTCTTTTAGAAAACCAATGCACAGAATTATAATAAACATTATCTCAGTAGTTCATAAACTCACCAAGAAGATGTTTTCGTTTTTAATCCTGTTCCACACATTTTTAACTCCCCTGTCATTTTTATCTTAGAGCCAGATCCAGAAATAATTCGTACTCTACTTCCTTGGAAGGTTGTATTACAGAAATTTCCATGGGGCGTGATTTTGGTGGTTGGAGGCGGTTTTGCACTTGCAACTATTATGGAGGTCAGTTACACCCTGGAAGCGAAATCTGTCATTTGAGCGATTCTTCTGTTTTTAGTTTTATTACTGATGAATAATAAATGCCAACTTATTTTAGCCAGTGAAACGTTAAGTAAAAAAATTTCTGGATCCGTATAGATTTTAACTTTTACTGAGGAACCTGAATCGGAGCTGTTACGTTTGATTTGGTGAATGGGTGATTGTGTGATCTTGATAAGAATCCTAAATAAGATGAATTACACATTCTACGTTTCATCGCTAACCAGGGCGAAGTGATATTTAGTATTAAAAATATTGGCGTAGCATTGTTAAGAATTGCAATAATCTGAGAAATATCCACAAAACTATTCCTGAAAAAAATCCCTTTTGTATCTTCCTTTTTGATAATCTAACACATAGATTTCAACTAATACAGGGCTATCAGATAGTGACGAATATCTAAATTTCTGAGATAACCATTTTTCTTAAAATATAAGAGTTTCTATTCCAGCCAATCATCCAGTAATAACTAGAGCAAAGTTCACTCCAGAATGGATTAACTACAGAAATGATGTATGTTGGTTGAGAAAACAATCATTACCTATTTTTAATATTCTCTGATTTAGAAAAGCAGAAAATAATGTTTGACACCTAGCAGAAATTTTATTGATACTTGATTTCACTAAGCAATTTTAATAAATGGATTCAAATTGTTGCAAGTCGCACTAAGCTAAAACAGTTTCACATCAGTATTACAAGTTTTCCCTTTGTCTAAATTTAGACCTCAGGTTTGACCAGTGATATTGGACGTTACCTGGGTGAACACTTGAAATACGTTGACGTGACGCTTTTAAATTTTGCTTGCGTATTTATAACCGCGACTATGACTGAATTTGCATCCAATGCAGCAACAGCCTCTATTGTATTACCAATTGTATATGGATTAGTAAGTTAATTTATATACTATATTTTATTGAACGCGGTAATTTAAGTAACTTTCTCCAGTAAATATTTTGCCATTTATTTGGATTACATTATTTTGTTCTGAAACGTAGAGGCTCTCTAATGGACAATAAAGTAAAGAGAATATTTACGAACAGCTTTTCTTGGCGAGTTGACACGGGCATTTGGGTTGCTCAAATTGGAAATGGTTAAAAAGTGAGACAGTTTTGAGTCTGTTTCACTCAAGACCACTTCCAGATTCTAATGTTGTTTACATTTTCTCTTTGTGGTAACCGAAAAAAATTAATTTCGATGGTGTTTGGTTTAACCGTTGTCACTGCAGACAGAATCATCTACACAAGCTTCTGAAGTGCGGTGTGGTCTGGAGATTCTGAAAACGTACCTAACTTTCTAAAAACCTAACTATGGTATACTCACTCCTCACTTCTACTACAGATATAATTTTCTCCGAAAACCCAAACAAAGGCACTGAACTAGAAATCGAAAAGAAGTATTTCCATATTAGATTCGCTTATTTGATATGTGGCGCACAGTGATACAGTATTATTTATTTGATGACGTTTAGGGCACAAATTATAGCTCATGACCATATCAACGTCATCTTATTTAATTTCGACATCTGATTTTTATAGTCCTGTTACCCATATTGTTTATTTTTATTAGTAGTAAAATCTTCCATATCTCTGGTATAAATCTTGCGTCATTCCTATTATATGTGTCAAGTGTAGATTCGATGAACAAAGATTCAGTAACCAATCTTCCTCTCTCTCCACCTAATTATATTGTACAGTGGTTAGCTTCAGATGTAAAATCGCATGTGAACGATTGAAGTTGGACTTTTATAAATCTTGCATTTCTAATCACACGTTTCCTGGAAAATTTTATAAAACTTTACGTTCCAGCAAATTACAACCAAATATCTCAAACCTTATTCGAATTTCGAAATCTCATGTGGAGAATTGTAGTGAAAATCTTATCAAATTAATCGGATGTCACGTACATGCATCTTCCGTATTGTCGGAAATTTCTTTAGTTTGCCACATCAAGTTTGTTAATTTTTGCAGCTCGGTTATAATAAAGCAAAAGAAAGGATGACGACAAAGCTGAACAAATCTCAGATTACGAGCGACCATGTGAATTCATTCCCAGTTAACCCAGACAACTATGTGACGAATTTATCATCCGTTCAGTTATCTGTTCTTGATAAAGAGGCGCTCTCTTGGGTTCAGTTTTTCTGTCCCTCAAACACAAAACTCTGATTTAACAACCGATGCTCAATTTGAAAACCTGTATGATCAACTGAGCTCACTTGTCCCAACTTCTCCAGACAATGAGAACTGGCTAAGAGCTAAATTAGTAGACATCGCTCATGGGTTTCATAATCCTGGTCCAAGACAGAAAAGCATCTTAACGCGTGAGCATTTCCAAGCACTGAAAGGATTACGAAATAACTCTGATATTGTCGTACTAAAACCCGATAAAGGATCAGGTGTGGTCGTTATGAACACGTCTGATTATAAAAGTAAGATGTTATCTATTCTCAGTGATGAAAGCAAATTTACGTCAGATGCCCCCTGTGAGGGATACGTAAATTGGAAGGCAGAGTAAATTCTAAACTTGTGAAAATGCTTGGTATGAATTTAATCAATAAGGAGGAATTTAATCGTCTAAAACCTATGGGATCTGAACATCCACATCTATATGGGTTACCTAAAACTCATAAGCCTGACAACCCACTGCGTCCAATATTGTCTATGTGTCGATCACCCACACATAATCTAGCCAAATGGTTGGCAAAGCTCTTGAATCCTGTCAGAAGCCATTTATGTAAGTCCTCATTGAAAGATACATTTGACCTTATTGACTGTTTAAATGATATTAATATCAAGGATAAGACTATGTACTCGTTCGATGTAAATTCTTTATTTACTAATGTACCTCTAGTAAAAACAATTGATATTTTATGTGACTATATTTCTTCTAACAGTCTTATATTCCCTATCCCTATTAATTTTTTAAAAGATTTATTGTTATTATGCACTGATAAAGTTGAATTCACATTCGAGGGCGAACACTTTCAACAGATTGATGGTGTCGCGATGGGCAGTCCATTAGGACCGTTGCTAGCTGATGTATACATGTCATATGTTGAAAACATGGCTGACGATCTCATCGGAAGGGTTTCACTTTATAAGAGATATGTTGATGATATAGTCATTATATGTGAAAAGCCTGATGATGCAATGTGCCTGCTACAGAAAATGAACACGGCTCAGAATCACATTAGCCTGACTTGTGAACAAGAGACGAACAACCAGCTACCGTTCCTAGACGTATTGCTCAGTCGACGGGAGGATGGCTCGATCAGGAGGTCGATCTATAAGAAACCTACATGGACAGGGCAATATCTTAATTTCCATAGCTATTGTCCAGTCCAATATAAACGTGGTTTAGTCAGATGCTTATTCAACAGGATAAACCGTATCTGCACCGATGACACCAGGGAGGAAGAAACCAACTTACTGACGACAACTCTGATACAGAATGGATACCCGTTGAGATTTATCGACCGGTGCAAAAGTTATGTACCATTGAAAAGTACACAGTGTTCCGTTGCTAAGAAAAATGTCTACATCTCATTACCATTTAGAGGTGATTCACATAGCTTTGTTGTGAGGAAAAGACTTAGATCGGCCATCTGTAAAACGTATTATGCAGCTAAGGTCATCATTGTAGAGAAGACCAAGTCCATGTTACAGCACAAACCGAAACAACATATAAACGATTACATCACATCCCACTGTGTTTATCAATTTACATGTATGTGTGGACACACATATATAGGGAGGAGTAATCGTGATATGCAGTTAAGGAAGGCTGAACATGTGGCTACAAAAACAAATGACCTCAACAGATCCGATAAGTGCAGGTGACAAACATCCATCTTCGTCTATCGCTAAACATATACTAGAAACTAACCATAGGATAGACATGAAAACAGCCTTTAAAGTACTACATAAAAGTGGTCAGAGCCGAGTGCTTAAATTTATTGAAGCTCTTGCCATCCGTAAATTTAAACCCCCTTTATGTATACAAAAACAATTTGTACTCACGTTGAACCTACCTTGGTAGTATTGATTTTAATTTTCATACCAAGAATAAGGTTTTCCTTTTCTATCCCTTCCTATTCCTATGTTTCCTATTAACTTCATTGACCTTTTCGTAAATTTTCATATAAATAGTTCGACAAGTCCATGTGTGATCAGATTGTTCGAAATGTATAGCGCTAATACATCACATGTTTCAGATAATCTTCGTCTTCTCATTACGCTGTTTAAACAGGTATTTGTGATTATGATAACAGTTGTAGTATTCAGCAAAATAATCTAATCTAACGAATTCCATGTACATAGATCAAACTAGCGGGTCGGGGTCAGTTAGAGTAGTCGAACATAGGAATTCAGCTAAATGTAGAATTATAGACCCGAATAAGATCAATAATCTAGAAAAAACTCGGCTATTGCAATACACACATTAACACACAAGCACACAATAGGGTGAGATAAAACCACTGTACTTAAGTTCAATATAATTAGGTGGAGAGAGAGGAAGATTGGTTACTGAATCTTTGTTCATCGAATCTACACTTGACACATATAATAGGAATGACGCAAGATTTATACCAGAGATATGGAAGATTTTACTACTAATAAAAATAAACAATATGGGGTAACAGGACTATAAAAATCAGATGTCGAAATTAAATAAGATGACGTTGATATGGTCATGAGCTATAATTTGTGCCCTAAACGTCATCAAATAAATAATACTGTATCACTGTGCGCCACATATCAAATAAGCAAATATAGTATGGAAAGTTTGGCTTTGTTAGGAGACTAGACAGTTTTTGTATAATTCACCGAGCACTTCAACTAAACTCCATTCAGTAGATGAGTAAAGAGAGACAACAGAGAGACAACGGCGAGTTTCACTGCCATTTTTAGTCTTCACTGAACTTTTCAATCAAACAGCGTACAAGCTACTGTCAACTGGGACCTAGTTGAGAAGTTCTTTTTCTACCTCAGAACTTGATGCTATATTTGCGTATGCAAGATCATGAAAACTAGTCTAGGAATCAGCAGTATATCGAAGAATAGTTTCCGCAGACTTAGAGAATTAGCTAAGTAAGATGGACTGAATAATCACACTTTGATCTTACAAATACAGCACACTCATGACTAGAGTTTACAGAGCTTTGGCTAGCGAAGCTAGTCGTCCATTTCAACGGAGAATGTAGGCATTAGAAATCTTAGTGTGTAGTTTGATGCAAGAGATTCTATCACGTGAATTCGAGTCGCTATAAGGAGCTGCAGAGCTGGAAGAAATTGCCGACGATGTAGCAATATTACAGAGAGATATGAGAAAACTTTTTGATAGTCATCCGGGGAAACTTTAGTCGTAATGGATTTGTGAACACATTTGACAATTTCCAGCTGTCCGCACGGTAGGAAGTTACTTCTTCTTTAGATGTCTGAAAATAAAACTTGAGTATAATTAGTGGTACTTGACCACGACCATCATCAAATGTCAGCGATGAGTATTTGTCTTCACGTTCGTCTTTGAATGCTTCACAGGTTACGAATTCCCATTTTATCTTGAAGTATGTCATTAAGCAACTGAACTACTTCATACATCCTGAAGTGGTCTGTATATTTATTGTCTAAGTCAACGGGATTAGAAATTAACTACATCACTTATTACTCCGGGTGATAAATGCATTTTATCCTCTAACCATTTCCAACTTTTATTACATTTCTACAATCTGTGGAAAAGAACTTTAATTTTATTACGCGATCAGAACAAAGGGTTCTTTTTCCAATGTATGAACTCACTGCTATATCCTGATGATAAGTTCTACTGATTAGGCAGATTCTTTCAGTAGTTATGAATGACTTAGTATTGGACATTTCGTGATATGTTTGCGAACACTGATCATCTTTTTCTGGTGTAGCCTAGAGTATTATGAAAACGGCAGACACAACTTTCATTTTTATGAAGGGTGTTTGAATAAATGTGAGTAATTTCCTAAAGTCTTTTAAGCAGTACCGAAGAAACGAAACCTCCACTACTAGCCTAAATTTCTGACTATGATTAGCTGATAATGGCTATTCCAAAACTAAATTTTAGGCTTCGATGACAAACTGCTTGTGACCTGAAAATGAATTAACCATTTACTCTGTGAGCTTTACAGACTTAAGTGATTAGGACAATTACTTTCAGATTGTTTCCACTGAAATTAGAGAGATTTTGTATAAATATGGGCGTTGGTACTTCTTGACCCTGACAGAAGTATCTGTAAATTATCCTTGCGTTATTTAGACGCCCATTTTCTAGAAAACTTGATGAAATAAGCTGCATAACAGCCATATGGAACTATTACTCTCTTGTGTGGATAACATCTACCTACAACAAATTTAAAACCCTTAATTGTTAACCTCCGAATAATCATAAAATTATATTTTTTTCAGTGTGAAGGACTTGGGATACATCCATTCATAATAGCCTTCCCTACCACTATTGTGACGTCTTTTTCATTCGCACTTCCTGCGGCTACTCCCCCAAACACAATCGTTTTTGCTAAAGGAAGAGTCCGAGTGAGACATATGGTATGTTCTTGCTTTATTCAGTGTAAAAAGTATGTATTAAAACTGAGCTACTGATATTTATTTTATATTTCATTACTGAGATATTTCACCAAAAGGGTTAATCATCACCACCTGTAGTAGAACTTCACCAGCTATATATTGATGTTAGAGCTATTTGCTCATGCATTATTTGCAAAATGGTGACTGGTTCATCTATCCCTTATTAACTGCTGATCGAGAGTGCATCGTACAAAGCTACAGTAAGAATGCAATGTGAGATAATCCAAAACTTGAATTCAGTGGGTTTGATGACACATTTTTGCCAATCGGTGAAGTCTATAACATGAACTGAAAAAAGCAGCCTTGAATTCCCAGGGAAACATGAGTTTTCTGGCGGCCTGTTATACACTTTGCTGGTGAGTGCCATTGTGAACGAAGCCGGAGTTTGGAACTTCCTAATGACACTCTTTTAAAATCTTTTACAAAACTCTGCTTTTCATGATCTCTATCTAGCCACCTTTTGGGAAGGATTTTAATCTCCAGAAATCGGTTATTCAAACGGTATCGATAAGTTAAACTTGAACGATTCTCTCACTTAGCTGAGGTCAGATGCAATATAGTGAATTAACACCCTTTAAAATTCTTAAATTGCTTCTTAAAACAATTTAACAAATTTATAATTAGGCTGTTGTGAAAGAATTTCTTCAGCCACGTTTTTTGACTGAACAACCTATTTATTAAGTTTGTGAATATTGCTGAAAACATAAGGGATGCATCATCTTTTTAACAAGGTGTTTGGCATTTAGATGCCAGTGTTAATGAAATATATAAAATTTATTTAACTTTTTCATTTTATAGATAGCAGCTGGGATCCTCATGAACGTAGTTGGCTGTCTCGCTGCAATCGGAGCGGTATCTAGTTATGCAGTGCCATTGTTTGAATTAAATTCTGTACCACAGTGGGTGTACGATGCTATGAACTCTACACAGATAACATAAAAAGTCTTTGCAATATTTATTATATAAAACTTTTCCGATGATCTTTTATCAGAATTTGACCAAACAGTATCGCAAATATTGGGCGATGAGTTAAAGGTTGCCATTAGATATAGTTAGTATTTGTGTAAGTCATAGCGTTTTTTGAAATAAAATAATTCCATGCAAAGTGTTGGAAGTAAAATCATATTACAAGACAGTGAGGTAGTATGAAACTCATCGATTACAAACTTCAACCGTTTTAGCATTTGTAGTAGGGCAGTATTGTAGTAAGGCTTATAGAAATTATTTTTTCGTAGTGAACAGGGGAAAATGTCGCATATTTTATCTCTTTCACTAAATTTGTCTAGTAACTGGTATTGAGCTGACTGAATTCAATCTCATCACACATAATGATTGGTTTGATTTCAAACCCATCCTGGTTACACAAAAGCTCATATACCTAAACTTTTCGATTTGAGTTTGGCAAAACTGATCATTTCAAAAAAATGTATAACAATAACCCATGTTTACAAATTTTTGGGGTAGTATGGAATTAGCGCTGTCTATCCGGAAGTAAGTAGTTGGTACCTTCTCTTTTTTCTTATACTGTAGTGATCATTTCACTTTTAAAGGCTGAAATAGTTAAAACGGCCATAGCTAGAACACACGGTACTCTCTCAAAATGAGAAACTTATCTTTTAAGTATACAAAAGGGTTTGATCAAGACATCTATTTTTAGATAAGATTCGCAAGTGATCTCTTCTGTAAAATTGAAATAATGACTATCATGACTTTACAGTTTGTTCATTGGGACCTTATGTTTTAAGTTCATAGAGAACACTCCAAGCTTACCTTAATAACGTAATGTGTTTTGACGCTAACCCATAGCCCACCATGAGGGTTCCTGGCACAATTAAGTTATGGATGGATATTAGAATACATAAAACGGTGCCTAGCCAAATATACTCACAAGTACCGGTAAAATGAAATTGTTAATTTTTTTGAAAGCAGATATACTTCAAGAGCATAGATATAGAGGTCGTTAGGCGTGTGATGAATCAGTTTAACCATATTTTCACGTCTTCCTCAAAATGTTGTTTCACTCCTAATTAACGGAATGGAAGTTGCAAGCTTTCAAAAATGAAATTGGTTTCGTTGAATATGTAACCATCCTCAATTAGGTGAAAGAACTAGCTTTTTCTCTTAAAGAATGGTAGGGTATATTAGTTAGTTCCTGACAGCCTTTAACAACAAGAAACATAAAACTACGAGCAACTTCCTGTGTTAGCAGTCCTGTTGTTTCGAAAAAAAACATTTCGAATGATTTATGTAATAAATTTGCCGCGCTAATATTCCTAAAGTGACTTTTGGAAACATACTTCCCTGGAAATTTAGCAGCACGGAGCTCACAAACGTGCAAACTACAAAACTTACCTGAAATCAAACGAACGGTGGTTTTCATTACCTTCATGGTCCGTTTGCACAGTCGTAAATCCATGAAGATCGATAAAACGCAGTAACCAATGTAATACACAACGTGGAATTATTTGAATACCGAAATAGTCGGTGTTATGGGTAAATGGAGATCAAATCAAATGGATATAATCACATTACAAACGACTGAACTCATAAACGTTTGTGGAAGCAGCCATCACTGGTAACCTATCCTTCGCTCAATGTACCAGTTATGGTTTGGTTGGGAAGTTGAGGAAACTTTTCACTACAATAAATAATCTTTCAATGGATCTACTCAATCAGTGTTAAGACATCACCGACAATATCACCTTTGAAACATTTTACAAGACACAGGTTGTCTGAGCGACGTTCTCTTGCTTTATAATCATTCTGTGGAAGAATCTGTGGCATGCATAGTAAAACACTCAAAAAAACCCTATTCGATTTTCTAAGCACACTGGAATTTCAATGAAATTTACTTAGACAAAGAATACTAGTCAGTGTAATGTTAGTTGTGCTATGCAATCAATATGAACAGAACAAGTATGATGTAATGAGGAGATAATGATTCTTTTATTCATCGCTCTGGGGTATGAATTTGTGGACAATTGTTTATTAAGGGTCAACTAATTATTGTGTTGCAATCAGTTATTTCCAAGCAGCGCTCAAAATCATGCGCACACAAAAACAGCATGAATAAACAATGGCATAAAAATAATAGTATGTAGAAGTGAATGTTTAACAATGAAATGATGGAGACAATGGGATGAAACGAGATGGGTTAATATGCAAAGTTAAAATATGAATTTTATGGTAGGAAACTTCACAAAGAATTTTTGACCTTATTGTGGGCTAAGGTAGACGAAGTGGGTGACCTTATTTCTTTTGAATATAAATAGAACAAGTTTTCTTGTTTTGATTCCTCAGCTTCGGTTGTTGATAAGAGGCATGGTTATGTTCCTTCGAGAACACTGAAAATAACAAGATATATCCCAGAAAACATGTGATCTAACTTGATTTGATGTTCACTTTCTACCAACTCCACTACTGATGCACTTCTTATCCCTTAAGACTTGATCAGATCATTTAACCATGTCACTGACTATTTCAGTAGCCAAATAATTCTACGTTATGTCTTACCTTGTATAGTACATTTCATCGATTCTCATGAATCTATAACTTCAGAGCCTGAAAAAAAGGTAATGAAAACATTTGTTCACTCAAATTATGCCTTTTATGAATAACCTATGGGAATATTCAATATACTCAAATCTGGTGTACATCCATTGTATTAAAGGGATCCAATGAATATATAGTGCAACGCTCACCATCGGGAAAGCCCCTGTGAAGTTGACTCGAAGTTGTATCATGAATAATATGTATCCAAAAAAAACTATCTTATTTAAGTGTAAATAGATTAGATACAATGATCAGCTCTTACTTATCGTGAAAAAATCTGAAATCCTTGAACTTTCATCATACTTAATTCTAACTAATGCAATTTTAGAAAAGGAATTAGATAGAAAAGTGAGCATAAACCTAGTTCCACATCAGATTGTTGTAACCTGGAGTATTACAAGACTATTTTCACCTCCACCTCTTCAGAACTAAGAGGGCTATTAGTATAAAGAGTAGAGTGTCGGCAAACTGAAAAATATGAAGACAGTAATTTAAGATTAACGTTAATCTTTGCAAGTGAAACAATACCTGATTTCACCTCTGACAATCATGGGTTAAACAGTCCACATTGTGGAGTGTGCTTAATATTATCTTAATAAAAACTGAATAATCTTGTGCACCAACGAGAAGATTAGCCTAATTTATGAACTTGTAAGTGAAAGGCTAGATGGACCGAGAATATGCTGATGACCTAGTTCTGTTAGGTAAAGACGCTGACAAGTTGCAGAGTCTTCTAGCTACATTGATTGGCAAGTTCAGAATGTTTGGGATGGGTTTCTAGCCACCCAAATTCAAACAGTCGCTCCAGGACTGGTCTTCAACAGTGCCCAGGCTAACAGTAAAGAATTAAGTAGTTCAGTGCGTTGATCACGTCACTAACCTGGGAAGCTGGATCAACCTAGGTGGTTCAGTGGCCATCGAAATCATCTCTGCACGGATACAAAAGGCTTGGTTGGCTTTTTCCAACCTATACCACCTGCTGCACCGCAGTGATATCCTATTTGCTAATGAGGGTCAGTTGTACTGCACGGAAGTTTGCTTCCTTCTGCTAAGTCTGAGAAACATGGTCATTGAAGATAGAGGACATGGGAAGGCTTCAAAAGTTCAACTACTGTCACTTTCGAAGCATAGACCGTGTGTCGTGGTGTCACCACGTCAGTAATGCAGGAGTCAGGGGAAGAGTTTGGAAGAGGAGAGGAAAGTCAGTCGGTGCAATTGGGAACCTTCATCAGCTCAGGTGTCTGAGGAATGTGTTACTCATGTCTAGTCATTGTCTGCCTCGCTGCGCAATGTTGGTAGAAGTAGGTTCAGGCTCGAAAAAGGCTCCCAGGCAACCAGACTAAAAACATGGCATCAGTGCATGATGTCGTTGACTCTCAGCTTGAGCCATGTAGGGGAAGCTGACTAGTCGGTTGGGGTGGCGAGATAAGAGAAATCAGCGGTTGGAAACTCTAGGTGATTTGGTTCAGAAATGATGTAAATGGCGCAGATGTATACATACATTATCTTCATCTTAGCTACTATTCCTAATCTCAACATTTATCACTCTTTCTTCCTCTCTCCAACTACTTTTTGCTTCTTCTGACCGATTTTTTTCCTCATCTTCCACTTAATCGCCTTGTTACTGGATGTACTGGTATGAGATGCGGCAGCGTGAACCTTTACGCAGTAATACCTAGTCATATGTTGATTTTGATGATGTTTTAATTTACGATTTGAGATTAGTTCATTATGTCACTGATTACGTATTTAAATATTGCTGCTGTAATCATAAATTTCGACTTATACAAGAAAGTAAAACCATCTGAACTGTAACAGTTACCTCTTACCCCTTTTGTTAACAACATCTTGACTGCCCTTCAAAATGAAATCGAGTGGTATGCAAATTACTTATGCATAGTAAAACTGATTAGTGTTTCAATAGCTGTGAAATTAAGAAGAAATGTAAATAGAATCTGAAAAGCTTAGCATGTGCAACATGCTTAGGTTATACAGATGTTGTTGTTCCTGTGATGATTAATTCACGAAGTTTGCACATCTTTTATAAGCCACCCCGTGCAACTGTATGGCTGGCCTTCTGAAATTCAACCATTTGGATAAGAATAGTAAGGATGGATGGTATCTAACAGCGTGATCCAGGATGCGTATTCTCTCCAGTTTGAGAGCAGTCAGTTTGGTATACATTCCTCCCAGTAAGTGCTGTTGCTCGCCCTGAGATTTGAAACCAACACCCATTGCTTTAAACATCAAAGCGCTGTCCACCAGGCCAGCGAGTCAGGATACCCACTCCTTGTGTAACAGGTATCATTTTGATGTCACTGATTGTAATTCCCCATCGTTAATTGGACCAAACTTATCGGCCACTATCGACATATGGACTCCTACTT